AATTGGGGTCTCTTGGACGTCTATACGAAAATTCTAAGTCACGATGCAGCAGCGAGCGCTACATTCCCCGACCGAATGTAGTTGGGGTAACAAAGGACGTCTATAAAGGAAATTACTTTTAAGGCATGAATCGATCTCTAAAGCAATTTTCCTCGTCAGACCGTTGGTGCCAGAAACCAACGCTTTGGGATATCTCGAAATTACTTTTGTAGCCGGTGTATAGCATCTCAAGGGAATTTTAGTGGGCAGACGCAGTGGGCGCGGATGGTGGCGATGGTGGGGGGTTCGGTGGTGGTGGTGGGTTTTTCGGAGGCTGGGTTGGGGTGGGCGTCGGCAGGTGCAGCCGGGGCAGTGGGATGTGCTTGGGGACGCGAGTGGGCGCGGGGATGATGCCGATGGCGTGGGGTTCTTGGTGGTGGTGCGTGCGGTTTTTCGGAAGGCTGGGTTGGGGTGGGCGTTGCGGCAGGTGCAGTCCGGGGCAGTCGGGATGTGCTTGGAGAGGGCCGCGGTGGGAAAGGGGATGATGCCGAACGGCGCGGAGTTGGGTCTCTTGAGGGGTGCGTCGATGAGGCGGGGGGGGTTTCGGTTGGGTGGGTGGTGGCGGGTTTTTCGGAAGTTGGGGCTTGGGGTTGGGGTGGGCGTGGCAGGTGCAGCCGGGGCAGTTGGGGATGTGCTTGGGGGCGGCCACGGGTTGGGGAAAAGGGGGATGATGCCGAAGGGCGTGGGTTTCTTTGGCGAGGGGTGCCGGGGTTCGGTGAAGGCGGATGGCCCTGGCCGGTAGTGCACGTTGGCGGTTACTTGAAGTTGAGCTTGGACGCAGTGCTGGGAAGAGGACCTCCGGCCTCGACGTCGCGGAGGCGTAGGCGCGGTCCACGGGTAGATTACCAGGAGGCGGTGGGGATAACCACGAGCATCCAGAAGTTGGGCGAGACGAGCAGGGCTTTGCCGAAGGAGATGCCAAACTAGATGGTAGATGGACTCGGCGGTGAGCCAGCCATGACTTTGGGGCCCCAAAAACAACAAAACGAGGCCAGCCAAGGCCCATGAAGCGGTGGATACCCTCGAACCAGTTGTGCATGATGCCGGCGGAGGTGGGGGTTTGCCGCCGAGGGACCAGCATTCGACACGAGGAGGAACAGGATGAAGGTAGCTGAATACCCAAAGTAGATGTAGCTGCGGAGGACGCTGAGCGAGCCAGCACTCTGAAACTCCATGGTCAGGAGCACGAGGAACGCAATGTACCAGCAAGTAGCAGCTACGGCGCCGCCGCTGTGGATGCCGCCATACGAGTACACCTTTGCCGCAAGGGTGCGGATTCGAAAGGGGAGGTTCTTGGTCCAGGTGCCGAATACCCAAAACATGGAATTGACGACATGCTCGTTGCGGACAAGCATGGCAGCGAGGATGTTTGCCGTCACCGCGATGCTGGCTTGCTGGTAGGTCAGCTTGGACTGTTGCTCTGAAACAAAGTGGCGGGCAATGAGAACGGCCAGGGCGATGATGTTGCACGAGGTAAACAAGGCAGAAGATGCGGCGGTAGACGGAGCCAAAGTTCCACCTCAAATAGCGGTAGAACCGAGACCCCTTTTTCGGGGGCAAGGGCGAGGTGTCGAGGCCATGACTCTCGAATAGATCTGGTTCTGAAACAACGGCCTTCGGCTTGAACTCTTTGGCGCTCAAGGGTGGTGTTCCTGATAGGGTGTTTGAAGACGAGTTTACAGACGCCCCAGCTTCTTCAACATCGCGAGGGGCCCGGACGATGCTAGTGCGGACTCCGAGGAAGCTGTTTCTGAGTGGCTGTGTGTCGGACTCGTCGTCACTGCTGTCGGACTCGCAGTCTGAAACATCGTCCCCAAGTGGAGCAGGTGGAGGAGGCAAGGAGGCTTCAAGTCTGGGGTTGGAAGGGCGTTGCTGATTGTAGATAGGAGCGGGACGCATTGGTCGGACACCACGAGGAGGTATCGTGTGTGAAGGAGACGTGGGACGGGGAGGGCGAACCGGTGGCCCTGGCAGTGAAAGATGTCTTGACACGGATGTCATTGTGATGAGGATGTGTGTTTTGGGTTTGAAAACCGTGCGTAGTGATAGGATAACTTGGCGAGCAGTAGATGAAGGGTCTATGTGCTGGCGAAGCCAGGACGAGTACCAAGTCTTGAGGGCCAGGCCGTGATCCTTGGAGGGTGGTAATGTGGTGAGTCAGGATCTGGTGAGCAGTAGGATGGGCTTGTCTTATAGACAGAGCGGTGGTCTCCTCTTGACAAACGCTGGCGTTGGAAGCCTTGCATGTTCTGGGAGCATGGGCCAGTGTTGATCTTGCATGGTTACGGCCGCCAGCCTCGATGTCTTCTTCCGAGCCCCTGAATGTTCTCGGAATAGGAACGCTCCATCCCCCAGCGTCAGGGAGTAGGTGGGAGGGTGACGCCATACTCTACCCCTGAGAGGGACATGTAGCCAGTTGTTGTTTACAGTCCCGTCAGGACGGTTCGATGGAGTTCAATATTCTTGGCTATTCCCGTAAATAGCAGCTCGCGGCGACCAAAACGAGAAAGCTAGGCGCCGTTGGTATGTTTCGCGTATATCAACGAGCCCAATATCACCTCGGTTCTCTGGGTCGAGCGCAGGCTGGGTGGCGCGGCTCTTGACGGGAGGGATCATGGTTCCAGAATCCCAGGGATGCAGGGGAACCATCCAACGTGATGCCCGCATAGTGTTGCTTTGCAGGAAGAAACATAGATAGACCAGCAGCTGCAGGTCGGCAATCTGTACAAGGCCAAAGGTCGAATCAAGGCTGGTCGGGTTACTACGGGTGGAAGGGGGAGTAGGTAGGTACTTTGCATTCACATGCACGATAACGTTATTTGGAGACACGGGCTGAAGCGAACCGTCGCTCATTGCACAGTACAACATGGGACGACACGGTACGGAACCTCGGATTTTTTGGGTTGCAAGCGGAAACGGCTGGGGATCTGCGCCATGGTTCGCTGCAGCTCAGGCTCGTGGCGGATCTTCCCTAGGATGCCACGACGTTGATGTATGGAAAAGAAGGCTGGAGGTTAACCTGGACACACAACACAGCATTTTGCCCAGTTCGCCCTTAATTCCATGACTCGTAGGCCTGTAAAATTTGTGGTTCTCGGAGTTGGTCATCAAGAGCTGTCCTCTGCCTGCAAAACACCAACAAGATGGAGGTTATCTGGGCGGTGATTCGGGCAATCACCCTGATGGAAGCAAGTTATTCTGGGAAACGAAAAAGAATGTGGGTGAAATGCTTCTGTGGGGCAACAGCCGGGCCGTCCAAAGTCGAAACAATCCCCTTGTTCAGTGATTGGTTCAGCGGCCGCCCACCCAAAAATAATCCCCTGCAAGCCCACCTCAGGTGCTTCCCTGCTGCGCAACCCTCCTTCAACATCCGTTTCCGAATTGTCGGCCCGCTGTCCTCCCGGGTGGCTTGTTCATCAAACGCCTTGCGGGAGAAGAATCGCATCAAGTTCCGTACCGCGCCTTGCCGTGTTTTGTTTGGCGCGCGATCGCGGGAAGTAGATCGCGGATCGAGAAACGCGTTGCCCCGGCTTGGCTTGCATTGCCTTTTTCTCCAATTCCAATCGGGCACTCGGCCATGCCTTGTTTGGCTCAAATTCGCTTCGAAAGTCCAGCTGAAGTTCGGCCTGCGCGACAAAATAGGTTGGCTTGGCTGCTTTGCCCCCAACGGCCCCCAACACCCCAAACAGCATCCCGCCCATAAACGCTTCCACACCTTGTCTCCATGTCTGCTGCCAGTGTTCGGCTTAGGCACCCGAGCAGTCCTGCGCCGCACGTGGTTCCAACGAAGCCACATACTGTGTAAGCGTGTACTTCGGTAGGCGGACAGCTTTCATCTTGACCATTCATTGGTCCACTGGCTCCCCAGTTAGGTATCCCAACACCAACCATTCCTGTGATCGCCAGCCTCCCAAATCTCAGCAGACTTTGGTTCATGATCGGCAGGAATACGTTGTAACTCCGTAACTCCGTAACCGCCGACCTCCGTTATTCTTAGAGCCTCTCCCCTGATGTTGTCTGTCAAGAGCTTAGAAAGACCTTTGTCATTCCTATCGTCCAATTCTCGTTGTTGGGGGTGCACAATGGGGCCACGAGAAGGCACATGCAGTCGATGTTCAGGGGGGCGAACATTCGGTTGCCGGGAAAGTGATGTTGAACCGGAGATGCGATGACCCGTCCGCAAACCGCCAGACCAACTGCCAAAACATCAACCTTGATCTAAAGACTCGTGTTTTCAGATGCGGATAGGGAGTGCCAGCTCTGGAAGCATCCGGTAACAAACCAACTAGTGCCGCCCCCTAGCCAGGGGAAGACGCCCAAAAGGGAAGACGCCCAAATTCATGTACTTTTGACTGCCAAAGTCGCAGAAACATGTATAACTACGGTGGGAAAAATTTCGGTGATTCTGTTTTCTCACTTTCCTACCCAAACCACCTAGGAGGCTTGCTATCTATATAAGGTTAAGAAAGAACGTACCGCGAAAAACGTAAAAGCTCAAGGCTTCCTCTATCGGGACACGCTTGTCCAGATCCTTCTGTAACTGCGAGCTTTTTCCAGAGGGCTGTCCGTCAGAGCGTCTGATGTCATGAGATGTATTTATTTACTGTTACCGCTGTAATCTACGACGGAGGAGGCTGCCGGAGGCCAAAATGTATTCCAGAGTCGTATCGGATGCCCTTCCGGCCTTCCCATGGGTTGGAATCCGCCGCTAACTTCCATGTGTGGGAGATGGGCTCTCAGCCTCCAACAGGGAACAAAATCGGGAGAGTACACGCGACATTTACAGCAGGTAGTTTCGAGTTTCCACGGGATCTGAGCCAGCCTTAGTCGTCACGCGGCTGGATGGTCGAAATCTAACATTCGTTGCTGCCAGCTGTAAAACACATAATCAGTGCGTACAAGCGCCCATCCTAAGATAATGTCGGAATGTATATAGGTCCTGTTTTGTTTTGTCCTGTTCCCAAAAGAAACGGGATATCTGATCTCAGGCTTCGTATCAGGACCCGTCCACCCACATAGCCCTTCACCGCATATCGGTCAAACAACAATCGCCGAGACGAAGAGAACTGCCGCCTTAGTTACAAGGAAGTCATTTATTGCGAGACTTATCTTTATCCTTGGAATATAGCTGGTGATAGGCGGATACAAGGCCAGAATCCACGACCCGCTTCCTGTCGCACGGTTGAAATCAGTGCACGGCGTTCCTATGCTCTATTACGGCGAATGAAAGCTTCGGCTTAGAGTTGCCAAGTAAGAATCGTGGTGAACCTAACGTATATTGTGTAACGCTGTTTCTCCTCCAATCATAAAATGTTCCATCTCAATTTATACACAGTTCAACTAAGGTCTCCAAATGCCATGATGCTTACCATGGTCCAGGAAGGGCAAGCCAAGCCGGGCCAAGATTGTCAATATCACTCTCTCGAGCCCAATCCGGGTGATACAGAGCCACTGCCGGGTGTCAATGGCTGTACAGAAATCCGGGGTAATAAGGTTAATATCGAGTGCCGGAGACGTGGGCATCTTGAGGATTAGCGCGTCCGCAAGGCTGTCCAAGGCTGGGTGAGTTAGCCTAGGGGTATTTAAAAGACCAGAGCCATGGCAAGAAGAAAAAAGGTTTTCCCCACGACAGTCGATCTTCCGCCATCTCTCCTGCTACGCAAGACACACCAACATGAAGTCCTTCTTTGTTGCAGCGGCGCTGGCCGCGTCTGCTGAGGCGCACTACATCTTCAACATCTTGATGGTCAACGACCAACGCATGGGCGGCGAGTACACCTACGTCCGCCGCAACAGCAACTCGTACATGCCGACGTTCCCCGACATCGTGACCAGCAACGACCTGCGCTGCAACGTTGGTGCCAAGCCCGGCGGCGGCGTACAGACGGCCACGGTCAAGGCGGGCGACAAGATCGGCTTCAAGCTGTTCAACAACGAGTTTATAGAGCACCCCGGCCCGGGCTTCGTTTACATGTCCCTCGCCCCCAACGGGGTGGCCAACTACGACGGTTCGGGCGATTGGTTCAAGGTGTACGAGACCGGGCTCTGCAGGGGCAACGCGGCGTCGGACGGAAACTGGTGCTCCTACAACAAGGACCGCCTCGAGTTTGTCATCCCGCCCAAGACGCCACCGGGAGAGTATCTCGTCCGCGTCGAGCACATCGGTCTGCATGAGGGGTTCAAGAACCGCGCCCAGTTCTACATGGAATGCGCCCAGCTCAAGGTAAGCCAGCCAACCCCTGAGTGTTCTCCGAATAGGCCAGGCGAGGAAGGAAATAACTGACATTGATGGACAGATTACGGGCCCCGGTGGCGGCACGCCCGGACCGTTGGCCAAGATTCCCGGCATTTACAAGGCCAGCGACCCCGGTATTGCCTACGACAAGTGGAAGAGCAACCCCGCCCCGTACCAGATGCCTGGCCCGGCGGTTTGGAACGGAAACTAGGTGGTGAAGTACAGGTATCAACGGCGGTAAGAGGACGCAAACCGAGCAACTCCGGTTGAGTGGTTTCTGCATGCGGGGATCTTGTGTTCACAGTACCCCGCAGGGGGTTCAGTGCTCTGTGGTTGCACATGTTAGCGGGAGACAGCTCAGCGTTTACCCCTTATTTTGAACCCGCGCAAGTGTTGTAGGCCTCGCTCGCTGGATCGTTGCTTGCCTCCTGGCAGAGATTGGCCGTCTAAATTTAAACCCATCTTGCAAACGCCGCACGCGTCAGCTTGAAGTCTTGTTTTCCCACACCCAGCAAGCTGTTGTACCCAACAAGCCGCTGTGCCGCCGCTCAGTGGCCCAAATCGTGTACCCCTGCACATTGCATGGAGACTGAACCAGACCACCGGGTTGGCTGGTGGCCCCCAAAACAGCAGCATGCTGCAGTGTGCGACAGTTGATCCGTGGTCGAGCGACAGATCAACTCAAGAGTCAGGGTGATTTCCTAGAATGACCTGGACAACAACACCGTGTGCGGGGCAACATTCCTTAGTGTTTCCTCAGACCGTCAATCCTTAACACCACGACAAGGCTCTCGGTCGACTCCCCTATGGGGAATGTCGCATCAATCGGCAATTCGGCATGCGGTGTGCTGGCATGGTAGCTCCGTGGGGGCTAAAGGCGGCAAGTATGTAGATGGATAGAAAGTCGGTCACTAAATAAAGATTCACATCGCGAGAACTGAGGATGTGATCGGCGAGGATGGGACTGCAAGCCGAAGTTTGGAGTCATCGCGGGGTTCCAAAATACTGCCGCTTTCGGTTAATGCACGAAGCGATTCCGATAACTAACTAAGGAATTCACAGATTAGATTAAATATATCACGTGGGATCACACGTGAATAGCCCCCCCAAGGCCGGAGCTTGGGCGGTCCGAGCTCCACTGCGGCTTCTCGGTTCTGGGTGTGTCAAGCGAACCTCTACAACCACGACATCGACTCGCGCAATTGTCGCTCGCAGCCGCTCAATTGCAGCCCAAAATGGCGTTAGAATCCGACGAGACACCACGGCGTAAGGAACCCGTCGTATCACCAGTTCCATCCGGCGCCTGAGTCAGCTGACAAAACGACCACAGGGGCGACCCGCGAGGAAATGCGCGATGCGAAGCTGCCCTTGCAATACCGGGACAGCTGCGCCCACCTTCTGATCCCGCTCAACCGCTGTCGCTTCGAGACCTGGTACATGCCGTGGAAGTGCGAGGTACGATATCCGCCCGGAGGAAGACGCAGGAGCAGGAGCAGGAGCAAGAGCAGGACCAAGATGATGCGGGGAGAGGGGAATGAGAGAAAGACCGCATCGGCTGACTCGCCCCCGCGACACACAGGACGAGAGACACAGCTACGAAAAGTGCCAGTACGTCGAGTTCAAGAAGCGCGTCGCCAAGATGGACGAGCTCAGGGAGGCCAAGGCTGGTGCGCGGAGCAACTGAGCAGGCCGGGGGGAGGAGGTCTTGCCGTGTACATATGGATGCGGGAGAAGGATCGTGGGGGCCTGGCAGCGATAGACGCCAATGCATTGTGCCTGATACTGGTTCTTCTTGTCTTTGGATATCTGGGCCCAGCTTTCGGTTGACCACTAACCCAATTGCCGCACGAGCGAGCGAGCACAGCCAGACAGGGCCTGCGACGATACCATCAATTGTGAGCAGGGCGAGGAACAATGCCGGGCGGCAAACTCCACTCTCAAGTCGATCCCCACGCCGGCTCTTGGCCACGGAAATGCTCTCATCTGTGCGCCATCGGACATATGCAAGTCGCCGGCGACCAAATTAGAGGACGATGCAGGTTGGGGTTAACAACGCACGCGCCGGTATTCGAGCAAGCATCCAAGGGCGGTGGCAAGTTCAAGTCGCAGTCAAGGGCCACCTGGGAGCTACTTGGGTACGTTGGGGGCTAGGGTTTGTGGGAAAAGGCTGATATGACAGACAGCATGCCAGCACCCCTCCACGATTCACTCGCCTCCACCTCAACTTCGGGCCACTCTTTTCTTCGGATAGCTATCGATAACAAATCCCTCCGATTGAATCCCAATCATTGCCGCTTTATTCCCACGCTGTTCGTGTTCATACCAACAACTCTGACGAGGATGGACCGCGTCATAAAATCTCCAGGGTTCCCGAGACACCAGCCATGATGATTCGGCCACAAAATGTCTAGTGCTAATCAACCTCAACCATGGCACCAGTGTAGAAACGGTCCGATCGCCGGTGAAATTGAAAACAACTCGCCCTTGGCAGCACCTTGACCCCCATCATCATACGATAAATAAAGATCGGTGGTTGGGTCTCAGCCTCAGACGGCACCAGCACGGCGGGTCGAAGATAAGGGCATCTTGCGGATCAGCGTGTCCATTTGGTGGCGAGGAAGAAAAAATCAAGTTCGGGCTTGGATTTCGGGTGCTACACCCGGAAAGAGAGCCAGGCGACCCAAGGTCCGCGCCTCAACTGATCGGGGGGATGAGCAAGGTTTTATCCCCGCGGAGATGGCCTTTCCATGATAGACTTATCTAGCACCCTGCTTCGGATGCCAGATAACGTTGGTGTCCGGTAAGACCCGGCGCGGTTGGGAGGATGCCCGTTTATCTCTGCCAAGACGGCCCCTTGCCAGAGCCTCAGACTCGGTGCAGATAAGGAGATAACGGCAGGGCTGACTTGGGCCGGACTGTGGGGGTCTAGACCCCTTCCGGACGTGGGATGGGTTGGTCTCACGCATATGCATGCCGGAAAACTTCTGGGAACCCTCCTTTCATCGGCCCCTGGAGAACCCGGCCATCGGATCGTCGCGATATTGAGACGGGACGTCACAAGCTTGGCCAACAGTCGGCCCAACGGCGACAATGGACAAATCTATATCTACCCGCGGCAGACATAGGTTGACGGGCTTCTGGTGTTGTCCATCATATCACCAACATCAAGCTTCCATCCCCTGAGTCCTAGCTACTGCTGCCTTGCGCAACAGCATCAGCAACAATGGGCTTCCAGGTATCTGACCTCTGGCGAACGCCAACCGTCAACCCAGTGAACAAAAAAGCACGAAGCGTGCCCATCCTAAACCCCATCGACGCCCATGGCCGAGTCTTTTTCTTTTCGTGGCTCGGCTTCATGCTGTCGTTCTGGGCCTGGTACACCTTTCCGCCCTTGGTAGGTGACCTCGAAACCGGCCTATGGAGACCCTACTGACAATTCGCAGTTGTCCGTCACGATCAAGACGGACCTCGACCTCACCTCGGAGGAGGTGGCCAACTCCAACATCATCTCTCTCGTAGCCACGCTTGCGGTCCGGTTCATGGCTGGCCCGCTCTGCGACCAGTTTGGCCCGCGCAGGGTATTCAGCCTGCTGCTGCTGGTGGGCAGCATCCCCATCGGGCTGGCGCCGCTGATCAAGGACGCGACGGGGCTCTACATCATCCGCCTCTTTATCGGAATCCTGGGCGGCGCCTTTGTCCCCTGCCAAGTCTGGTGCACCGGCTGGTTCGACAAGAACGTGGTCGGTACCGCCAACGCCCTCTCGGGCGGTTGGGGCAACGCCGGCGGCGGCATCACCTACTTTATCATGCCGGCCGTGTATGATTCGCTTGTCCATCGGTGGGGGCACAGCCCCGACCAGGCATGGCGCATCACCTTTGTCGTGCCGCTGGTGTGCTTGATCACCTGCGGCGTCGGCCTGCTGCTGCTGTGTGAGAGACACGCCCATGGAGACATGGTACGCTTTTCCTCCTGCCTTGCTGTTCCTACTCTCCCACCACTAACACCCCCACCAGGAACGACCGGCACAACATCCAACCCCCCACTGAACCCCATGACACCATCGTCTCCATCCCCGGCACCATCACGGACCGCGAAACCTCCAGCACCACCACCCCCATCGGCAAAGCCAGCGACGGCGACGGCACCACGTCCGACCTCGAAAAATCCTTCCCCAAATCCACCACCACCACCACCACAACCACCACACCCTTCCCCTTCGACCACGCCACCGCGCACACGGAAGAAATCATCCGCCCCCCGACCCTCCACACCGCCCTCCCCATCCTCCTCAGCCGCCACGCCCTCTTCCACGTCGCCACCTACGCCTGCTCCTTCGGCGGCGAGCTGGCCATCAACTCGGTGCTGGCCGCCTACTACCTGCGCAACTTCCCCTATCTGGGGCAGACCCGCGCATCGAACTACGCCGCGGTGTTTGGGTTTCTGAATTTTGTGACAAGGCCGTTGGGGGGGGTCGTGGGCGATGTGCTGTATAAGGTGTCGGGGGGGCAGCTGTGGTGGAAGAAGGGGTGGGTGCATGTGTGTGGCGTGGTGACGGGGGTGTTGCTGATTGTGATTGGGGTGCTGGATCCGCATGATTTGGGGACCATGATTGGGTTGGTGGTGCTGATGGCGGTGTTTCATGAGGCGGGGAATGGGGCGAACTTTGCATTGATTCCGCATGTGTTTCCGCATGCGAATGGGTTGATGTCGGGGTTGACGGGCGCGGGGGGGAATCTGGGCGGGGTGGTGTTTGCCGTGGTGTTTCGGTTTATGGATGGCGGGACGAATTATGCGAAGGGGTTTTGGGTTATTGGTATTGTGCATGTCGTGCTGAATCTGGCGGTTTGCTGGGTGCCCCCGATTCCGAAGGGGCAGGTTGGTGGTCGTTGAAGAGGTTGTCTATAGACAATGGTATTAAGTGGGATTCTGAGCTGATGCGTTCTTTACTGGTTGTTTTCAATGTTTCTCGTTAATCGTTCGCCTGACCTTTAGTGTTCTTGAGGATCGAAATGATAAGTTTATAAGGATAGGAGAGATTGTCAAGGCCCAGGAAGCTTCACGCAGGCCTCCAAAGCGGAGGAGGGCGGCCACCCCGGAAGATCTACAACCTGTCGTTGATGAGGCACAGGAAATGATTGTCTGTGGTCTGCAGAGGGTCCGCAAGGCCGAGGATATTCAGTAGGCATTTTGTACATACAATAGAAATGACTGGTGTTGTGGATGCTTTGGACATTTGAATGGAAGGGGTACACTCGTAGATCATGTTCGGTTGTGGGGTCGTTCGGTTGTGGGGACAAGACTTCTAATCCCTCATTCTCACCGTTCCCCCCTCTCTGTGAACCATTACATGACATGTGCCAGGAATGGTTCCTCGCGGGGCCCCTCTCCGGAAGCGACAACCCCTGCCTCGATCACCGCCGCCTGCCCTGATTTTGAACCGTCATCTCAACACCACGCTTATCAGATTAGTGCCGAGTTCAGAGAGCCTGGGATACCAGCCAGAAACAGCGAGCCAAGGCCAACTTCCCTGCTGCGAGGGTTAGCTATAGGAAGCCGTCCCATCACGCCGCCACGCTACGAGGAGCGGCCGTAACGGCGGCAGCCGCAGCACCGTCCGGACCACGCGGCCGAGACGTCCTGCCGGCCCCGCCGGGTTAATAGTGGGTTAATAGCCCGAGCGCCCCGCCCGCAGGAGAGCATGGAAGTCGAAGTCTGCTGCGATGCGACGGGGTATGGGAGACAGGGGTAGGCAGATTTAAAAATGAAATCACTGTCCTGGAACGTCGGGTGTGCGGTTAGAGAGAGGGGGGTTTGTTGGTTTGGGAGCTGTTGGTGGCCCGGGGTTTAGGAAGCGGGAGAGGGGGGTGGCAGTGGTGGACAAGAGGCGGTGAATGGAGGCGGTCAGTGGTTGTAGGTGTGGTTGTGGTTTGGTGGAGGGGAGATTGTGAGGGGATGAAAACGGTGCCGTTGATCTTTTGGGAGGCGGTGGGTTTTTCAGGGGAGAGTTCCGCACGCGGGCGTAGGTCGGTCTTGTTTGCCCATGTCTCCCGTATTTTCCGCCTCCGCCGCGCGCGTTTAGGCGTCCGCTCATGCGTGGTTCTGAATCCTGACCACTGCGTCGCGACCTGCCATGGCATTCCAGAGCTGGGGATTGAACTGCATCGTGGTCGTGTGCGTTTCCTTGGAGGGTTGTATATTTTTCTAAACCCAAACGAATGACTATGACGCTTGCCAGCAGCTGTCACGAAACTCCTCTGACCTAACCAATGACTATGACGTCGTCCAGCAGCTGCCATGCCAACTCTTCGGGTACAAGCTGCAGCATATTCCCACCCGCCATAACCTTAGCCACATCTGTATGAGATATCTGGGTGCCTGCACCTTCTGATACCGGAGTTGTTAGCCCAAACCAGTGTCCTTGAAGCCGCGGTCGAGGCGGAATCGCCGTGGTGTAAAACTTACTGTTCTCCGTACTCCCTATTATAAGACGTTCGACTCAAGTGTCATAGCCGGAGTCGTTGGCGCGGCACTCGGCGCACCTGTGAGCCCCGGTCTGATACCGCGGCCTCGAGTCCCAGCCGACCTGACCAGGAGCGTGTCTTCTGGTCATTCTTCGAAGCTCCATACAAGCGATGGTCACTCCGTTCCCAATGACCACGCCGCATGTCGGGCAGGGTGTAAACCTTCTCCAGCACATGGCGTCAAGAGTTGCAAATAAGTGAGAGAAAAGTGAGGAATGGGGTGTGTTGGGTCTGTGTCTGGTGGTTCGTAATCTTGGCCACTGGTTGAAAGAAGGAGGAGGGAGGAGACGAGGCGATCGACTCTGACTGTTGAGGTATGAGGTCAATGGCTAGATAGAAAGAGAGAGTTATATAGCCAAATCCTCACGTCGTCGTGGGGACAGGGGCCTGGGTCAAGGCCACGCCACGATCCCTCAATTGTCCATCCAGCATCTTTTCAACCGCGGCCACTCTTGGCCATGATTCTGACCCTCATTCTGGCCTTTGGGGGCCGTGATGATATAACTAACCTCGAAGGATATTCGACAATCCTCCATCACTCTCCTCCGGCCCAAACGACGCTTGAAACAGGCCGGCACACCACGCCCTTGTTGACTGAGACGAGAAAAGCCCAGTATGATACCAACCGCCAACGGCATACATATGGCCACACCTGGTGATGGCGCCGCAGACAGGCCGGAGGGCCTATGGGCGACTGGTCGGCCAGCGTAGAGGACAGGCACTTGGAGGACATATGCCGCTGCCAGATACCAACAACAGGCCCAACCAACCAGCCGGACCTACCCAGACTCCCCCAGCCATCCAAGCCAACTGACCAGCGATCTAAAATTGGAATTTGAACGCAGGTCGCTGTTTCGGCCGTGCTGCGCTTCTGGCTCCTCAGACCCGAGCTCTAGCTAGCCCGCTGGGCTGGACAGCTCAGGAGCGGCATCTCCTCACAGGAGTCGTGGAGCTCCTCTTGCGGGGGACGACGGGGTGGTGATGTAGTGGATAAAGCAGTTGTGTCGTCTGGAGAGAGGAACCAAGTTCAGTCTTGGCACGCTGCCTGGATTGCAACAAATATAGAGACCAAGAGACCAAGCACGACTCCCAAGTCCACAGATATTCATGGCCTCGAAGCCTCGCGGAGTTGTGGATTTGCCTTGTTGGCTTGTTCTGTGCCCCTCGCTAAGCTGCATCGTGCGGCTGTACCCGAGGGACAGCCGGGGCTTTGGTCTGTTGCGAAACAGGCCGGCGAGGGCTGCGTCCCATGTTTCATCATGGGATGATCGGATCGGCATCTAACGCAGCACTTTGGTGATTGGGCTTGGAAATTTGGGGTTGGGAAGTTGGGCCAAAGGGATCGTGACTGTGTGGCTCGTGAGCGATCCCCATTGCATTGCTTGCCGAATAGTAATCGAATTCCAGGCAATTGTCGGTGAGTCGGGTACTATGTTAACTCCTGTGACAAGGGCTCATTCAGAGGGCTTGAACTCAAGGTTGGTACGCAATAATCTTCTTTGGCCTCAAGGTCCTTGGTCCTTTACAACTGTCGTTGTGAGTCCCCTCGGCCTTTTGTCCTTCGAAGAACCTGGAGATCCCTTAACATGATTGGTCTACACTGTTCTATGCTAACAGGTTTCACTTCATGGTGAGTGCTTATCTGATGGTGTGGTTGGTCCACGTGAGGCCAGTCGCTACAGACCACACCTCCTGATATCTGTGTCTCGTCCTTGGCGGGATGGCACAATTTCATCACGGGCCGAGGTCTTCGGTCCGAGTGTCGGATCCGTGTGACAACTCCCTTCTTGACGCCACGATTCACCATCTATAGTAGAATAGTTCCAAGCCTCGGTAGTGCCCTAACTGGTCTGCCCACAACGACGCTTATACTCGACAAGCGCCTCGGGCACCGTCTTGGCCACATCGTCGTAATCCTCCCATGTCTCCCTACCACTCTTCCACCTCACGAGCAGCTCTGGGAAGCCGTCATCCGCGATTCTATCGCCGCAAACCTCCTGTGGCTCCCACGTCTCGTCCTTGGCCTCGTCGTCCTCGTCGAGAGGAAACTCAAACTCTGGGCCATAGTCTTCCAATCTACCCTCATAACGTTTTCCATTCACATAAAAGGCCGGGCTCAGGTCGTCGTCGAAGTACGGCCGTGGGCCCTTGTCAACCTCCTGAAACTCGGTATATCTCCCGGCAACCTCCCTGTCTAGCCCCGGGCTTCTCATCATCCGGCATATGTTACCCGATTTGAGCAAGATGTGGATCGGCTGTGCTATGCTCTCGTCCACCCGTCGACGGACCTCGGGCTTGCAGTCAGGGAGAAACAGGTCGAAACAGACAAAGAGGCGGTTGCGCTCGAGCAGGACGGCATGGAGGCGCGTGTCGGCCGTATAACCGGTGACGCTGTCGGTCGATGGGACTCCGTCTTCAGCCGCCGTGGCGGATGACGGCACTGGAGGGGGCCCAAGTTGTGCGGTAACGGCGCGGGCAAGCTCCGTGACCAATTGATCGGCAAGGGCCAACGCGGCCGAGGACTGCCGGGACGGGAGTGGGTACCGCGTGTTGAGGAGACATCGTATCGTCCCGTCTGCCGTCAAGGCAACGAGGCTCTCGGGGCCTACCGTAAGCTGCATGTTCGTAGCGATCGGCTCTGCGGTGGTGGTTGTAGTTGTAAGCAGTGAGTGGTGCAGTGCGGAAGCATGGAGTTGGGTTGGATCGGGGATCAGGGATCAGGGACGTTCATGGGGGATGGCTGCGCTCGACGTCGCCCCAACATGGGTTGACTGTGTTTTCTAATTTTAGCTACCTTGGGGGTTGTGGCACGCTATGTGAGTTAAACGAATATCGGGTCCGCGTTAGACTTCTTGTGTTTAATGGGCTCAAATTGATAGGCTTGAACAGGTTGATTGGCTGGATCGGGATTAGCGGTGGTCTTTCTCTTGGTTTCATGTTTCTCGACTTGTTCGTTGAACTGGCTTACGCAGGCCTGTACGGAATAGCACGCTCCATTTCGCACCCAATTCCCAATACAAATATGATTAAATAAACTCAGAAAAGTGCATCTAACGCAGCCTTTAGCCCTTGCCCGCGCCCGTGCCCTCCCGTCAGGTTTAGCCGGCCTATTGCCGAGACCCCCCGTCAAGGCCCTGTGACCCCCCGCCATGTGTAACCCCAACCAAGACATGTACCAATTCCATGGCTCCGATTGCCCCGACCGCCAGTCGTCCATCGGTTCGACCTGGTGTGGGTCCCCGGCGGCGCCCGCAGATTGCTCTGACGGGGACCCCACAGCAATCGGTTCGACCCCGGACCGGTTGTGTTCAGATAGGTTGGGACTCCTGCGCAATCAAGTCTAGTTATTTTTCGTCTCATCTCCTCTCCTCTCTTCTCCCAGCCGTCAGCGCCTGCCGCTTTGCTGGGAGCCGAAAATGGATGCCAGTTCGAGGGAACGGGATTCCTGGATCCTGGATTTCGGGAGTCACTGGTTTCTCAAACCAACCGTCGAGGGCTGAAACGCTCATTGGAGGGTGGAGCAAGGTGGAGTCGTGGTCGCAGATCCGTGGATGATTTGGTTGGAGGTTCCATCTACGGGCGTGGGTGCAACGATAAGAGGAGTTGGCACAGACCGTTAACTACTCCCTCGGCGGAGAAATGTAAGCTTCTTGTTTTTCCCCCTTACAGTTGCTTACTGCTTTCTTGAAACGAAGCTTTAAGGACCAGTTTTCCCAATGTACAATGTACATTGAGATACCGAAGAAGAAACATTTGTTGGAACCAGCGGTATTTTAAGGCATTGAGCAGATCACTGAAGGCTTGGGTCAAAAGGAACGGAGTAGAGGGTGTTGATGGCTGTCAATTGCAGTGCTTGTTGTTGGCCCCCGGGTCACGTGACCCAGGTCCTAGGCGCAAGCCGCCGTGGGCTTGTTCTGACAACATTTGGTTTTATTTACGAGTGTTTTCTCTAATAATGTTTTGGTATGAAACTGGATATTATGAGCCTGAGCATAATCGTGTAATGATCTATTTAGTGGTGTGATGCGTGAACAACAGAACCATCGTTTACAGCCACAACCTTCAAACCTACAACCATCGCAGCTACAACCCTAGCATCCACTTGAACACAGCGCTCGCGCCTATAATCCAGGTCAGGTGGTATGCCAGCGGCAATAGATAGCAGGTGTCAAATCTGTCGTAGCTGAGGACCAAGCCCTAGCTAGTAGACGGACCACGCTATCAAGCCCAGGGTCAGAGACAACAACGAGCTAGGAAGTCGACGTCGACTATCCTAGTGTAGTAGCGGCAGCTCGGTCTAGTGGGTGGGATAGAGGGTAGCTTGATAGATGCTGGTTTCGCCTCACACTTCCCAGGTCTTCAAAGGCTTTAGCCACAGCTTCATTATTCCAACGTTTATGGAGTTTTTAGCATAGAGGCTAATTCCAGTCCTGCTGCTAACAGCAGGTAGGTCTCTCTGGGTTTCTTGATGCTGTATAAGGGTGTGTAGAAGTTCGGTTTGGTTGGAAGTATCATAGTATGCCTCGAGGATCAGCTGTAGGTTTTTCCTTCGATAGCGAACGAAAAGTACGAGGCTATACAACGGCTCAAGGCTTTTCCCCATGGCCCCAATATTTGACTGTTAAAAATTACATTTGTTTAAAGGTTTCGTGGGAGAGGGTGTCGCAGGGGTTTATCGATGGCCTGAGCAATCCAATGCCCAGGCGTTGGAAGGCCCTGGTGCGGGCACGTGGGTGGTATATTAGATATGCATATCCTGTTCAATGGCTTCCTTTTCCTGTATTTACCTGGCCAAATTACATTTACTTTGACAAAGTTGTTGCTGCTAGAATGGGGGCGGTGGTCGTGCGGCTGGGTGCCAACATGTACATGGAGAGAGTTTGAACACCGACTCGTCGTTTCCTTCCTCTTTATTTTATCAAATTTGGTTTTCAGATGGGGGCCAAAGGCATCCATAGCAGCGGACTCTTCTTGGTGACTTACGTACCTACCTACCTACCTAGGTATTCAACATATTATAACGAGACCCCAACCCGGGCTTGTGTGCGTCCGCTATTTTTCCGTCAGATTGATCGCATCCGCAACGCTCAATATATTTCAAAAGCTCGTCCTATCCACCTCAGGCAATTGAGGTTACACCATACTGATAATTGTACATGGATGTAGAGACAGAGGGCGAGCTGCAGCCACCAATGTGGTGCACTTGGGTGGGAATACGTGGAGTTCAGCGTACGACACATCAATGGACGGAAAACGGGATGCAGCTCAAGAAAGGCACTCTAGTAAGGGGCTTCAATGATGTATCTTCATGAGTTTCACGCTGCAATTCATAGATTGGACTGTGTTGTTGGTCTTGACTGAATGGATCCCCCTGAGAAAAGGGGGATGCACGCGCCAGGGTTAGGGTTATATAGGGGGGACAACCATGATAGCCCGACGACCTCCCTTGAAGAAGAAATGGGCAAGCATGCTCTTCTGCGAATTCCTAGAAGAAGTGGCCAATGAATGCCAGAAGGAAGATTGCATTGTGCGGTGTGTCCCTTCACACCCTCTCCTGCGTCTCGACGATATGGGTCGCAGTCTTCTCCTCGTGTTCCTCGATACCAAGTTTCTCGTGACGAAGGGCATACTCGTCCTGCTCAAAGACTGGAAGAGAAGAAGGTTAGTTTAAACTCTCATAGGGGAGGAGAAATAGAGCGTACGGAAAGCAAGCTCTTCGAGAGAGCGTCCGGACGTCTCGGGCCACAGGAACCAGATCAGCACCGCCTCGACGACGATCCAGCAGCAATATACGAGCAGAAACTTCCACCCAATAGCACCAGTGCCTAAACGACCGTGTTAGCTACGTCAAGTGGCAAAAAGTCATGTCCCCGCCCCACACCCGCCGCCAACCGCCCATCACCACCACCACCACCATCGCCATCGCCATCGCCTTGAAACGTACCAATTGGGTTTACATTTGTGCCAAAAAATTGGGCAACCTTTCCAAATAATTGAAAGATAGCAATGCCGCGAGCGCGTTGAGCGAAGGGGAAGATCTCGACGAGGTAGGCTGGGGATTGTCAGAACGTCACGACCTTTGATAAGCGATGAATGCGGCAAAATGGCGTCTTACTGTACGTTAGTGCGTTAAAGCACAGGTTGTAGGCAGGACTATAAGCATAGATAAAGAACAAGCAAAGTTTGGCGGCCACCTGGGAGTGGTTGACGATGAAGACGGCGGTGCATGTAGTCCAGGCGACATAGACGGCCAGGATGGCCAGAATCCCCGTCATGTACATGGTACGCCGGCGGAAACGCATGACAACCAGGGCTGCACTCACGCCGCAAACGAGTGACCAGCACTGGTTGCCGAGGTTGTACTGGGTCTGGAAGGCTGGGTCCGTGTATCCAATGAGCTTGAGCACGTCTCCCAGGAAGTACGAGATGACCACATTTCCCGACAGTTGCGTGAACAAGCCCAGCAGCGAGCCGATGAGCAGCCGCCGCCGCATGCCGGCGGTCCGGACCAAATCCATCCATGACCGTTTCGAGTTCTCCATTTCGATCTGCAGGGTCGTCTTGATCTCAAGGATCTCCGCCTTGACGAACTCGGAACTTGCGTCACCCTCGGCGTGGTATTTGATCAACACAGCTTCGGCCTCCTCATACTTGTCCTTGCTCATGAGGAAGCGCGGGGACTCGGGCAGGAAGAAGACAAAAGTGACCTGGAGTAGTGCGGGGGCCATCTGCAGGAAGGACGGGATGCGCCAGGACCAGTCATTGTGGATGGTCTGGGTCCCGTAAGTGCATCCTGCAGCCACAATAGCGCCGATAAAGTAGCAGGCGTTGAAGAGCGACGTGAGAATAGGCCTTTCCTTGGGATAGCCCAGCTCTCCGATCAAGGAAGCACCAGCGACGATGGCGAAGGGAAGGCCGAATCCAATGATGCCTCGGGCCATGATATACATGGGACCTGGTAATCGTTAGGTTATGTAATCTTTACAACCATCTCGATCTAATAAGGGAAGTTGGGGGACGGGGTTCTGGGCCCCAAGTTTGCCCAAACATAGAGCTTACCGTTGATAGCGAGTCCTTGGAGGATCGCACCAATGATCATCACCCACGATCCCAACATGATGCACCATCTGCGGCCAAAGGTATCGTTGACGAAGGGGATAAAGGGGAGACCAATAACGGAGCCGAGGGGAAGAGCCGACGCGAGAATGCCATTGTATGCTCCGGTGGGATGTCCAAAGACTAGAGGCTACGTTAGCACGAAGCTAATTTGGAAAACAGCAACAGATAGAAGAGGGCGAGAAGGACTCGGAAAAGAAGAGGAAAAGATATAAGGGGAAGGAAAGAAACAAGATAACGAAAAACACAAAAGAAAAGAAGTGGGGCGGTGTAAAAAGGGGGTTAACTCACAGTCCTTCCAGGCCGGGAGAAGCTGAGCAGAGTTGATAATCTGCGAGTCAAACCCAGATGTCATCTCGATGCCGATGACACAGGGGAACAGCAGCAAGTACATCCGGCGCAGGTTTGGCTTTTTGTACCAGGCGACCGGGTCCTCCATCGCCATGCGATGGATCCGGTCGTCTTCATCCTCTCTGCCGCCGCCCATGATTGCTGTAGTATTGTTCTGGAAGCTGTCGAAGCTCGTGTAGAAGATGGATGTCCGACCACAAGCCCGGTCGGAGAGGTGACACTTACACAAATGGTGACAGGCCCTGGACAGCAGACCATCTACCTCGGAGCACAAGAGGAGCGGGTCTCGGGAAGCATATAAACGCCTACCTCAACCCTTGTCATTCTACAAGGCCCGTGTCGCCGATACTGGCCCCATCCTGCCGGCGCGTCTGGCTGCCGGGGGAGAAACCCAAACGGACAGGATCAGGAATACCGGCCGTGACCTTACCGTTTACGCAACCTGATTCCTTTCCCAGATTGGGCCAGCGCCAATCTTGGGGCAATTCTCGTATGGGGGATATTGAACACCACCTGGTCAGAGCAGGTCGGGCCGACAAGAGCTAACAAGCCGGCAGGCGCTTGAGGCGTTTCTTTCCCTGTGTCGGCCGCTTATACGCTCCCTCACGTTGAAATATGCAAGGTGCTTCCTCCGCGTTACCTCCGAAGCGCAAATCCGCTCCTCTTTGGGGTTGCAGTCGCCGGGGTGGATACATAAGACGGGAAAGAGGGAGCTTTAGCCGGGATCGACATGCAGCCTCCAGCGCGATGTGATCTTTGAGCACATGAAGTGGCGTCGAAACAAGAGATCCCATCTCTGGGATGGAGAGTGCCGAGCCGGCATCTGCTGCAAGCAACGGAGAAGTTACTGACGCGCCACATTCGCTTACCGCGCCAGTACCTAAGGTACTCGGTAGTATCTTCAGCTGCAGATTTGAACCTGAAGATGAGCAGATCAGATTTGCGGTTGGATACCGCATCTTGAGCTGAACTCCCAGCAGCAAAGGAAAATAGACATGACTCTCCTCGAGCCCAAAGGCCGCAAATCGAAACAAGCTCGGGCAGCCCCAAACGAGGAGGAGGAAAAGACAGCCGCGCTTCCGTCCCCAGCCAGTGATGTTACATGGACCAGGTGCCGTGGTGGGGCACACGGGGATAAAACCGCGTCCCGAAGAAGCACTTGCGAGCCTGGAAATGGCGCCTTTCGGCTAGTTTTTGGCCGCCAAATCGGGATCTCGTCTTGGCCACTTTCCAACCGTCGCTTCGAGAAGCCCTCGATCGGCGCGGCAGGCTGGGCGCGAGGGCTAAGCTTTGCCCAGGACAATCACAACCGCGCCAAGGGCTTGGAAAGCGCGAAGTTTGGAATTCTGGGAAGAAGACAAGATCAGAGATGTTTCCAGCGAAAAAAGACAGTAAATGAAATGATAACTACGAAACAACGAGGCTCACCATCTAAGCCACCGACGCGGCAAGAAGGAGCGGAAAGCAGCCGCAGGTAAAGAACAAAATAGCGCCGGAGACGGACCGGGGTGACATTGCCAGTCCTCCATTCGTCGTCCGGCTGTTGGTGAGCCTTTTAACGGACGAACACCCCTTGTCCACCCGTTCGACCGGATGTCGAGAAGGCCGGGAACAACGAAAAGTGATGCAGCGGTTTGAGGGGCATGAACCGCGTGTAGCGGAAATAACGGCATTGGTGTCCGGTATAGAGTGAAAGTGGGTTCAAAGGGAGAGCCCTGGATTTAACCCAGCCTGCCAGCCTACGAGTTGGGTTTTAATTATCCACAAGATCGGCAGGTCCAAGGATGACGATGGACGGACGTTATTTGAGTTAAGATACGGAGTAATACAACATTGATGCTCGAAATACGGATACGCCATAGTTACTGTAATATAAGCAGCCAACTACCCGATTTCCCCCTTGCCCTCAAGCGCCGCCGCTTTCGTCTCCACACTCTCACAGCCAGCCAGCACCCCAACGTGCGCCACAACAAGGTCCCAACTTCCCTCTCTAGTTGATTCAACCTAAAACCACACTCGGATCACTGAATATATTCGCCATAGGCAAACCGCTAGCGGTTTTGATAGCGGAAGAGGAGTGATAAATAACCACTTGCTATTAGACCTGTGTCGAGTTTGCTGAGGTTTACGTAACCTGTTCCGTCCCTCTGGGTCGATCAATGGCAGTCATCTTGTACACACAGTGGCAAGCTGCAGCAGGTATTTACGGCCGTGGTTCGGTATGGTCCATGGAACAGCGGCGCATGCCGGCCCAGGGGCCAAGATCCATCAGGACTGTCCGTGATACTCTCTAAAATATCAACGGTGTGAGTTCCGCGTAGCTGGTTAACCAAAATGTACCGTACATATGTAGGCAAATCCCTTGAGTTGTGAGGGTGGTGGAATGGAGTTTGGGGGCTGTTGGGGGCCGTTAACTAGTCGAAATGGGAGCACTACGCAGGGACATGCAGGTCAGGCAGGCCAGAACTGGTGTATTGATGACTCCCCAGCCCAATGTCATGCATGGGCTTGGTTTGTTCGATAATCAACGACACTGCACTTGACAAGCGAGGGGGGTGAAGCCGACGTATTCTCAGTTGTCACGCTAATTTAGGTAGGGAGATACATCCCGGGGCGTCCGTTCACACCGACAACAACAAGAACGTGTCACACACAGAGGGGCTACCGACCCGAGGTTTTGTTTTAATGTGTTAGAGAAGAGCGTATACTGTATTGCAAATAAGAAAGGTATCTAGAACAATCCATCCAGTGTGAGTGAGGTGCATTACTCAAGCGGCACATGAGCCCCCCCTCACCCAACATTTTCACCCACCATTGCCACCCACCACAACCACAACTTCTTCGTGCTTAGAATCAAGCACCGGACCACCGGGTATCGATGTCAATGAAAAGCGTGGGGTAAATTACCGCCCAGGGCTCCTCGAAAGGTTCGACCGCGATCCCCCTCGCAGCCGCAACATCCAACACCTTCTTGCAGGCCACACGGGCTTCGCGCAGCTGCTCCGGGGATGCTTGCTGTGGATGTTCTGAGCTTGCATCCGGCAGATCCAACACGAGACTGAGGAGCTTGAGATTCGGAAGGAAGGTCGGATTAGCCAAGTCGGCCGCGAACTCGTCCATCTCAGAAGCCGCGGATACGGGCCCACGGAGCCACAGTGTTTCGATGGATGGGGGATGGATGAGGTGGATGAATGGGTAGGGGCGGGTTGATTCAAAGATCTTGGCATATACCTCACTCTCGAGGGTGAGTTTAACGTGCTTCAAATGTACTAGATTTCCAAGAAACTCGAGGAAGAAGTATGGGACAATGGGCAGGTCGGTGTTTGAGGAGTAGATGATGAGGCTTTCGAGAGAGGCCAAGAGGTGGAACTTGGCGAGCGCCATGTAAGTCAACATCTCGAGTACGTCGTTGCCAAGGATATCGAGGTACTTTATACACGATGGGGGATCGTCGACACGTTCGAGGGAGAACAATGTATCTTCAGCGTTTTCCTCGTCACCCTCCTCTTCGTCCTCATCACCTTCCTTTTCGTGTTCGTCATCTTCCTCTTCTCTCTCGCCACTTTCCAGTTCGTACTTCTTCCCCAACCTTTTGGACCATTCTGCGGGAGCAGAGTAGACCTCGACATCGAAGGGGAACTGAAGCTGTCCCGCTGGGATCGTCCTCATCGGCTTGGCGTCCTTCATCAAGTCCTTGGTGAGGGGGCCCTCGAACCGTAGACCGTGGGCATAGAGGAAAGTAAGATGGTTGATCCGACCTTCCAAGATGGCGGGCGTTGTGATCCGCTCGCCGGCGGCATCGGCGATGATCAGCAAATCCAGCGGCCAGTTGAGGGGGAATTTTGCGTCGATCCAATCTTCGTTCAAGCCAGTGGCGACCTTGAGAAAGCGAACCTTGGTGAAGTGCTGCCCTAGAGCCTCCCGCTCGTCGTTGGTGGGCACGTCTCCCGTGATGTGCAAGATGTCAGTCTCTCGATCTATCACGGCCATGGCGTCTTGGAGGGTGAGGGCGGCATCCTGCCTTTCTTTCCCCGAGAGATCGAGCCCCTTAATCTTTGTCATGTTAATGACGGGACTGCGAATATGTGACGAACCTACTTCAGGACCCTGTCCTGTTAGGGTTCAGCTTCGGTTGAAGGTAATCTCTTCGAGGGTGCTTAGGTTCGGTGCAGCCAAAGGGTGCACAACAAAGACTTGTCTCAACAGTAGGCTTTCGAGCTTGTAGCGAACTGTAGTTGTGATTGCTAACTGGAGAACTCCCAGAGCTCTCCAGTACGAGTGACTATATACTATCTAGTATCACCACTCTGTTAGTGATAATCGTCCATTATCACTGACAACTAGTGATAATCGTCCACACACACACACACACACACACACAATTTATTCCGCCCGGTGGGCCTAACCCGAAAGGGCAACTATCATGCAATCTACTAATACATATCCTAAAATGGATCCTGATCTCATGAAGCCCGTACATCCTCCTTTTCTGGCTTATCTCCTTACAATTTTGCCCTCTCTGATAATCGTCCATTATCACTGACAACTAGTGATAATCGTCCATTATCACTGACAACTGGTGATAATCCAGTTCTTATTGGTCCTTAAGCGATTGGCTGCCGGCGTCCTGCGCTGTCGGCTGTGGCCGCCCTGGCCGCCTGGGGTCGTTCCGTGACAGAATATCGCAGTAATTTGGGTTTGCCTTTGCGATGGCAAGCCATCGGGGAGACTCGTACCACAGCGCAATTTGGCCACCTTCGTTTGTATGGGGAATCTGGGGTTGGTGGGCAGTGGTTCTATGGGGACCAGCCTTGATATTCATACGCGCGGGTTCCGCCATGATGACGTCGATGGTCCAGATAGTCCTGAGGTCTTAACGGTCCGCGTAGCTGGAGAAGAAGATGGAGATTTGGCTTTGGTTCAGGCAGCGAGTGTAATGATTGGGATGATTGCGAATGATCATACTGGCGAGACTTGAACGTTGTGGTTGGTTGTTTTTATAGCCCGTGTTATTGCCTTGATCGCTGTCTGTACGGACTGCCCGGGTTTCATTATGTAGGGCTTGCAGCACACAGCGCCATTGTCCCCAATTGATCAGTCAAGGCCTGGAATGCTGAATTGACGAATCATGGGTGGATTTCATGGAGTTAGGTGTGAACAATACCTTTCCGGTTGGCTTTTGTTCGGACTGCTGAATTCTTGAAGCCAGCAGGCCGTAGTCGTCAAGTCGGCTGTGGCGTGTAAATCAGGAATGACAGAACTTTTTCGTTACATTTTCAAGTTCGCCAATATCCCAGGTAGGATGAAGGTAGCAACATAATATTGTATTTTTTGCCAAAGATTATACTATCTAGTCATCTCCTCGTTGCTCGAGAGAGTGGTCCCGTCGACACCCAGCTAAACATCGAGTACAGAAATTCATCATCGTCGTCGGCAGTGGTAGTGGGGCTTTGCGTCACAGTGGGTGTGTGCTGCAGCGTGAATACAGTATTAGCAAGCGGTTAACTATGGTGTCAAGTTCATCCTTACCTCGGGGTGTGCCTGGTGATGGGCGGCACCTTGCACCCGAAGGGGAAGGACCTAGTGATGGGCGGCGCCTTGCTCCTGGGGGGTGGCCTGGTGGTAGGCGGCACCTCGCTCCTGGGAGGTGGCCTGGTGGTGGGCGGCGCCTCGCTCTTGGGGCGTAGCTTGGTGATGGGCGGCATCTTGCAGCTGCTTGACCGAAGACAAGATTAGAAAGTGGCTAGCTGTAGCATCAGTGTATTCTCACCCGTTCGCGGTAGCGCGCAGCGCGCTCGGCCGACCGCCGCACCGTCGACTTACTGCGGCGTCGTGGGTGACGGCGGCCAACTCCGCCGCCCACGACACCGCGCTGCGACCCGTAATGAATAATGTTGTTCCCGCCCTACTACAGTCAGCAGAAAATCTTAGCTCACGTTCAGATGAACATACCGTGATGCTGATCGTCATAGTTGCTGCTGGTGGTGTTTGTTGTAGGAGGATGGTCACCGACAAGAAAATTCAAGTGCGAGGGAAAGACAATATCTGCTCGGGGTTTCACTGCTCTTGCCCTAATCCGCACTTGCACTTTTGTTCAAGAGCGAAATTTGCAGGTCCATTGCCGTCGCGGAAGGTGCCTTACAATAATGTCAGACACGGCACTGCGTCAGGTCGGGCCTGGAAAACAAACCCAGGCAAACACAAACCGGCACTGAATTCAAAATGCTTTACGGCTAAGCTACCTAGGCACTTTCTTGTTTTGTCTATCACAATACTCCTGCTGCCACTCACTTCCCGCCATCCTCGGGCGTGGGACTTTTGGCGGTACCCTTGAGGAACAACGGACTCTGAGATATTTTGTTCCAGTCGTGCACCGCGAGGGTGTTGTCCCTGTTCTCAATCACCGTGTGGTACCCGCGCTTCCACACCTCCTTCTCATATCCATCAACCGCCAGAGCCAGCTCCTCTCGGGTGTGCTCCTTCATGGCGCAGAGGCGTGTCTGTAACTCGGCCACATCGGTAATGGCGTTGCCGAGCCCTTGACCGCGGTCTGAGGACAGAATTACGTCAGTAACTAGCGCTGTTGTCACCTAATAGTGCCTAATAGTAACTCGTGAACCTTGGGGGTAAACTTACGAAAGGTCATGGAATGGGCAGCATCGCCAGCCAAAGTAACGCGGCCCCCTCTGCTGTCCCAGGGTTTTGTTGGCCAGTGGGTCATCTGACTGGTGTACCACGTCTTCGTTCCCGGTGGAATATCTCGGACCAGGGCATTGTGGGGATACGCCAGGGATTTGGTGAGGGCGCGCACCTTCTCGAGGAGAAAGACAGGATCATTTGCTAGCCTCGCATGATCTTCATTTTCCTGGTAGTTCCAGGTGAGAACAAGCATGAAGGTCCAGTCTCCGGGGTCTCCGGGGGTGCAGTCGTGGATAGAAGCGAATGTGAACATATTATTCGGGCCGGTGCTCATGCAGTACGTGGGGTGCATCTTTCTCAGGCTCAAGGCCGTTTCGCGAGAAAGCTTTGATAGCGTTGCGAACGTTGAGACGGGCACTTTCTGCAACGCACCATCTTCGGGAGATTGTTGGAATAGCCAGGTTCGGGTTGGGCTATGCGCGCCCTCGGCGCCGATGAGCAAGCTGCCATTTTCAACAGTGCCGTCTTTGAATGTGGCCGTAATGCCACCCTCGGTTGGGATTATTGTATCTATCGTCTTCCCGTACTGCAGACATCAGGATACCTTTCTGGATCTAGGGGGCGGGCGAGGAAGCACTTACACGCACATCCAATCCCTCCTTGAGCAGGTTTATCCATGCCCTTCTCCTAAGGCGGATAGCATAAGGGGCAGGAAGTGCTTGGGCCATTTCTCCTGTCAAGTTGTGGTAGATGGGGAAGATAGATTCCGCGTAGCGGCGGTACGATGGATCGGTTTGTACCGTGTCGATGAGAGCGCTCAGCTCAGGAGTCAAACATTCCTCGATGCGTGACTGTGCCCAGTAGACGCCGAAGTTCCAGTCTCGCGACCGGACCGTGGTACTCTCATCTTTCTCGAAGATGGTGGCGACAATTCCGGCCTGGGGTTGTGGCTCGTCAGTATTACCGGAAACTATCAGCAGCAAACTGGTTTCTCTTCCTTGCCTTTTTGAAGACGTGACCTAGCAACAGCCCAGCCGAACCTAATAGACACTGATTAATCTGGGGCTATGTATGCCCGAAGGTCATCGGATCCTCTCCGCGTTACTCACCTGCCCCAATAATCAACACCCTCAACGGCTCCATGGTGCTCAAACAACAAATTCTTGATCGATTGTATCTAGATACGTTAGTTAATTCCCACAGCCCATATCCTACAAACTAAAGCCGGGAAAGAAGGGGCTGGTAGAAAAAGGTCAAGTGTGCTTGCGCAATGAGGAGAGAGGGGAGGAGAACGGGCGAGTACGACAGTACGAGTCAGAGGAGACTCTCTTACCAGCGCGTAGTCGGCTTTGGGCGGGGCGCGTGAGCTAGAGCGGCTCACCGATAAGACGTTGGATCACAATGAATGGCCAAATGGCCCTGGCATTACCTGGGGTGGACCGGAGTCGTCGGGAGGAGACCAGTCAAGCTACTGTTTGTCAGCAAGCCTGTTTTAGCATGCTACACGACGCAGGTTATTACTGCATTTTCCCCCTGTTCTCCTAATATCACAACCCCCGGGATATGTAGACTCAACGCCCCGGCCGTTCCGGTAGGACCGTTGGACTCCGCGACCTGAGCGTGCATGATTCCGGCTCACCCGCCAATGGGCGTGAGCCGGGTGAGCCGGGTGAGCACTCGCTGCTACCTCGACGGACCAGGTTAGAAAACGAAAAGCTGAAACCTGCAATCTCTAATATAGTGGTGGCGTATAGAATACTGGGGAGGTATCCAGGAACTACAGCCGCCTCCTCTAATTGAAGGACGGACACGAAAGGCAGCCAGGATGTATTTCTGACCCTTTATTACTGGGCGTCAACATTGCCCCGAGATGGATGCTGTGTTCCAAGGTGGCGATACTAACCCATAGCCGGGAGACCGACAAACTGAAAGAGCTGGATTTGCCCACGATATCACATTATCCAAGTCGGTGTTATTGCCCGATAAGAGAAATACACTCCCCAGGCCGCAGGTACCAGGCAGCAAACCCCCTCGTAACGGTCTGCCATCAAGTACCTAAACAACGCGTCTATGCTTCGAACGCTATACCTGCAGACGACTTGAAACTCAAGCCAGACCAAGCTATGCGGGTATCTGCATGTAGGTACCGGCGGCGGCGCTGGCTTTCCCGTAACCATACTCTATATTCCATCCCCAAAATCGTAGAAATTCACAATCTATTGTTCTCTCAGGGGAGATGGGCTCTAAAGGCCGTTGTTATTATCTGAGAAGTCACTACCAACGGGGTTGCAATTAAAAAACCCAGCCGCATCGAGATCATGACATTTGTGTACCTCGTAGGTGCTGAATTCAACATGCTCCCTATGCTAAGGTAGTGCATGGCAGCCCGGCTTGTGCTGTCCTACATCGCTGTCCCCGAGGCGGCGAGGGCGGCGAGGCCCGCGGCCTCGAACGCTAAAATATAGGCAGGTTACAGGTAGCTAGAGGCGCTAAGGTACCGTCAAGGGTTGATCGATATAGCTGTTTGAGAGTGCTAAGTCTCGCTCTACGGTTTGTACCACCGTCCTGATGTAAATGTTGGGCGCCGTATTGCTGTGATGAGATGCCGCTTGGCGACGTTGGCGTGTCACGAATTGAGACCAACCGAGGGGCGCGGGCCGCCTCGTAGCCAACCGCTTAGGTACATAACCCAATCAGGAATGGGCTCCGTCAGGCTCTCTCAGAGCCTGAGAGAGCCCGGGGAAAAGAACACCAATCAAGTCATAGAGCGGCTTGCTCTATCGACATCACAGGGAGCCCGGCTCCCTGGCGCTCTGAGGGAGCCTCAGAGAGCCACAGGATGTAGTCAGTATATAGTCACTCGTTCTGGAGAGCTCTGGGAGTTCTCCAGTTAGCAATCACAACTACAGTTCGCTACAAGCTCGAAAGCCTACTGTTGAGACAAGTCTTTGTTGTGCACCCTTTGACTGCACCGAACCTAAGCACCCTTGAGAGATTACCTTCGACCGAAGCTGAACCCTAACAGGACAGGGCCCTGAAGTAGGTTCGTCACATGGCGTTTGTGAGCAAGGCTCCGTGTGACTACCTCGGTCGGTACCGTACCTAAGGTACCTAAGGTAGGGATTGTGGAGCTTGACAGATTGGGCCTGTTGGTCGTTTCAGCTCCCATTCATCACTGTTATTCGTCCGCCCCGCGAATTCTTCCTGCTTTCCGTTCTTTGCTCCCTCATGTCGTCCCCTCTCCCCAAATTCTCCCATTGCGTCCTCTAGGTTTTATTCTTGAGATTATATTAACCGAATTTGTCACGACGACACTCATCTTCTTTTCTTTCTGTCTCGTCACTCTCCAACCCCATCTCCTTTTCCATCTCTCTCCCCATGGAGTCTCCTCCCAAAACACCGCCCAGCCGCGATCCTGAGGATGAGATCGACTTTCGCTTTGAGACAAATGGCACTCCGTGTGAATGGGGTGAATCGTACCGTCCAGGTGGCTACCACCCGGTGATCCTGGGCGATGTGCTCCGGGATCGCTACCGCGTCGTCCGGAAGCTTGGCTACGGATCCTTCTCGACCGTCTGGCTAGCGGCTGATATGAGTTTGAACTGCTTCGCCACCTTGAAGGTTTCTGTCGCTGGCTTGGGCGAGAAGGAAGCCGGTGCCATCGACAAAGGCCTGGCTGTTTATCGGACCCTGGCGCAGACCGCGAATCGACATGTCGTTGGCTTAGGCGACTCATTCCACCTACGCGGGCCTAATGGCTGGCATGCCTGTCTTGTCATGGACCCGATGGGCCCTAATATCAGCACCTTGCTCAACCGCCCCGAGTTTGAGGACCGGACCTTGGACCCCTGGGACCGCCGGCCACGCTTCCCCAAGGCGTTGGCCCGCCGAATCCTACGTGATATCCTCCTCGGGCTCCGCACCCTCCATCAACACGGCATCGTACACGGCGACCTGCACCCTGGCAATATCCTGACCACCATTCTCCCGCTCGGCGAGCCTCTCGGCCATGACCCCTCCATACTACAAAAGGTCCAGCAACTCCCAAGCGAGGGAACATGCGCTGATCCGACCGCGATGGCAAGACCGAACCTCTGGGCGCCGTCGTATCTCTTGGAAAGCCGCACCGCTGAAGGACCTGGTAATGTTCGAGCTCGATCCGGTCGTCAAACTCGCCGACCTCGGCGCCTCATTCCTGGAGCGCCATCCGCCCGCCACCGTCGTCACGCCAGTAGCTCTCCGCCCACCCGAATCCATCCTTCGCAGCGCCCAGGTTCCGTTGGGCAAGGGGATCGATATCTGGGCCTTCGGCTGCCTCGTCTATGAGTTGGTGATGGGCCGGAATCTTTTTGTCGGGCTCGAGGCGCTGGATGGCCACGACGCGTCGGATGAGGGGATCAACGACGAGCACCTTATTCAGCTGTCCGAGGTGCTGGGGCCGTTGCCCGCGGAGTTGGCCTCGCACTGGCGGCGCCGCGATCGGTACTGCGATACGGACAGTAAGCGGTTGCAAGCCACCATCCAGCATAATAACGCTGGAGATGAGGGAGACGGTATGGACCATGACGGTGTCAATGTTGATGATAGCAATGATGGTCAAGCCCAAGGAGAGGCCATCCCAGGTTCGCCCTTGGACGATATAAGTGAATCTTCGGATTTTTGGCTCGCCAACGTGGGCCAATTTTTACCTCTGGAAGATCAGCTGCGGGACCCCAAACCAAAGGATATGGACGATGCCGAAATAGACGAGGTCGCGCGGCTACTGCGGTGGATTTTGGAATACGATGCTTCAAAGCGTCCTTCGGCTGAGGCTATCCTCGCGCATCCGTGGTTTAGTTCATCTTAGTTCAATAATTGAGGAGTGCGGCGCTTCGAGCTGGCTGGATAGAGCCCCCTAGCTCACCCTTACTTGTGGTGGATATCTGTCTGATGTATGTACGTGTCAATGCAGTGGTAGGCTGCGGGTCGACAGGCCGCCGGTGGTCGCGTATATCAGGGAGAAGAACGACCTCATCGTGCGCACGTTGACCGAGAGAATGAGTGGGAGCCCCATGTTTGCCATGCTGACCGAGACGCCTAGGCCGCGGTGCTTGTGTCTGCGCGTCATGGGGAGCAAGGAGCGGGGGATCGCTGGGCGTACATTATGGATCTTATATATTCCTCCCCTTGTCTCCCGACATTCTCGCCACCCCCGTACCTGGGATGTTGCCAGTATTGCTCGTTTCCTCGGGCCACGATGGAGATTAGTAGATTACCCAAATATGTATTTGATCTTGCCTATGTGGTATGGACAGGAGTGGAGGGACTTAGGGACGGACCACTGCATGGTACTTTGGCTGCCAACGTAAGGTCGGCAGTTGACAAACTCGACGAGACGACCTCCGACAGTCCTCCCCAGTGGTTGTCAGGGTGTATCAAATTTCAAGGAGAAACAAGCCAGGGCGAACACCAGCTACATTGAAACAGAACAACGAGGGATTAGTAAACTCTTTGAAGGCGTCGACTGGGAAAAGCCACATTCCAACGGCCGTACAAGCAGCTTCTCCATCAGCTCAAACTATTCTGTAGCCTCGGGAGACGTGTAGGGCGTATTTGGGGAATGTGTTGGTTCGCCAAACATGTTTGTAAGCTTAATGCGGTCTCGGAAGCCCAATCCTCAGCCTCGAATTGTAGATGTTTTGCCAGCCCGCGCCGAGACCCACACCCCCCCCCTGTTCTTCTGTAATGCCCAAAGGCGGATTCCAGTCGCCGCCAGCCTTCCACGATGCCACGGGGGTCATCGCTAAGCGGGAGCTGGAGGAGGTCCAACTCCAGGCCAGGGTCTGGGATCTGCCTCAAACCAATGGAAATTGCTAACCGGAGCGCCTCGTCGACGGAGAGAGAATGTTTGGGCGAAGTGGAAACGCCAGTTCCTTGTTGGGAATGAGCCCATACCCCTTATAGGGCAGCGGAAACCGATGACCAAAAATAGAGAACGGAGCCTGTACCGAAGGATATCGGCAAAAGAGGACGCGGCAGCTGGATGAAGGGTTTCTGGGGTCAAGTGTACCCGCGGCATGTCTGTGGCCCACTTGAACAACTTATACGGATACCCTTGGTCTAGCGCCAGGTGGGGAACCCTACGAAACACAATTTAGACCAAGTCGAGTACCAAAATACACACAGTGGCAGCAAGACATTAGGGGTTATATACCCTTGATCCTTGTAGTCATAAGCCCTGGCATCGTGCGAAAAGTCGACAAATAGGCTTGCGAATCCGCTGTAATAAGAACGGGTCTTGGGTTGCCAAGGCCGGACACACACGACGCCGTAGTCCGAGTTGAGGTAAAGTATTTGTTCCTGACACTGCCGTCCAGGGAAGGGAAGATGAATGTGGTAGAAGCTAAGCACAGCCATCCTCGCCTCTCGGTTCACCTGGAGAAGCAGACTGAAGGGCGAAGCAAAGGATCGTCCACCAGCCCCGAACACTAAAGGTATCGTCGGCCACTGACTATTCGACCGAGATGGTTGCGGTCAGTGTAACAGCGGGGATCGCCGTCAGTAGGGAAGATTTCAAGCTCGATCATGCGCTGCCTCTGGAGATGGAGCGTCCCAGATATGCAAGCGCAATTCGACTGGGAGGCGCGAGAACAAAGGCCAGGCGGGGAAACAAGGGACTGGGGACACGGGCCTCGCAGTGACGGAAATGCACATCGTTAAAGAGCATGGGTGCCGGGCCATCCTTCATCTCCTCGCCCAGATCTGGGCCGGGGTTGCCCATTACGAAAAACCAAATTGGAAGTTAGGTAGAGCAAAGAACAACAAAACTTGATGAGGTCTCAAAGGTTCAAGCGAAGGGACGAGTAACCACAACCCTTTTGGGGGAGGGGTGTTGGGGAGGGGAGGTGCTTCCGCCAAGCCGTGGGGTGACGGATGGATGGAATTTATTTCGCCCGGAGGCACTGGGCCTATAGGGCCTTAGCACGCTAACTACATTCGGATCAAATCGTTTTGCCTTTAACTCGTACAAGCCCCCTACTTCTTCCCTCTTTCTCGCTGCACCATTTACCTCTTGCCTTGGTTGTTGTTAGCAGATCAGCTTGGAGTCTACTTTCTCCAACTGTTCAGCGTCCTATCTTCAGCAGCTAAAGCGGGACCTGCTGGTTAAGGCTCGTGGTTGAGACTCGTGGTGTTGAGTGTCGGCTTCTTCTACTGTGACTGGTCTAGGTTCTCCTCCTCATTCAGCTCCAGCCTTCCTGTTGCCATTGCGTATTTGATCGTCGCCCGGACTGCCTTCATATCTGGTGACCAATGCCTTGTATCTGATGGCGCTTTCCCTCCCAGATAGAACGAGAGGCTTCCTCGTCTTGCCACTGTGCATTGCAGCATGTCTTCCCTCAGAGCTGTCCATCTCACGCATCGGA